GCCCCCGCCGCCGCCCCCGCCGCCCCCCGGCCCGGCCGTGGCCGAGGAGCCGCTTCACCGACCGTGAGTATGGGCCCGCTGCCGCTCCGGCCCAGCGACGGCCGGGAGCGGCGGCGTCCCTGCAGACCCCGGCCCCGCGGCCCCCGAGCTCCCGGCGCATCGTCGCCCTTCGTGCTGCGAGACCCCGTCCCGGGGCCCTGACCGGGTCCCCTCGCGTGCGTCTGCGCCGCTCCGCAGGCAGGCACGGCCTCACGGGCCTCCGCTGAAGGCACCGACGCGGGCTCGGCCCCGGTCCTCTGCCTTTCCCGGCGTGCGAAGTTAGGGAAGGAACTTGCTGCTTTATATTTGCAAGAGACGGGCTGTGCTGTGAGCAGAACTTGGGAGAGCCGAGACCGCCACTTCCCTTCCCTTGCCTTCCCTCTCCTCCTCTCTGAGAGGGAGGAGCGCTGGGGCGCAGGACACTTCGCGACGCGCCAGGCATTGGAGCTGGGGTGATGGGGGGACAGCGATGACATCATGCCTTTGGGGTGGCGAGGCGCGGGAGGGCGCGGGAGGGCGCGGGCGTGCGGGCCCGGCCCAGCGGGAGGTTCTTTTCCAGGGGGCTCTTGAAGCAGCCTGTGTGACTCGAGGCTGTCACTCTCAGGGCACTTCCGTTACTTCGGGAATCGGTGGCATCGGCAGGAGAGCCGCTTGCCTAAGCCCAAGTTCGTCTGCAGACGCTTGAGTTGGGTTTGCCAAGTACGTGGTGAGCTGCTCAGAAGGTTATTATTAAGAAGCGAGAAATCAGAAAATTGGCCCAAGTATTAGGAAGAGTTGACAGGCTTATCGCCTGCTTTCAGTTGGAAATAAAAGCAGCCCCTTGCAGAGGGAGAGGTTAATTGGCGGGGGGATGAATGACGCGCGCTACACCGGGGTCGTGGTCCAGCCTGCTTGCGGGCCCCGCGGGCGGCTCCTGTCGCCTTCGCTGGTGACATCTGGTAGTGTTGGAAAGCTGGGGGTGTCTGTTGCTTGTGCCGGGAGAATTTTTGAGACAGAAAGAGACCGGACCTTCTGACAGCACCCAGGCGCTTTCCCTTGAAGTCTTCATGAGCCGAATTGAGCAGGGGTTGGGAGCGCCCTGCTGCAGGTCAGGCCTTTCTCCCCCTCCAGGGCATTTTATTTTCCTTCTGGATGTGTACAAGGTGGCATTTGATGAGGACAGTTTTTGAGAAACTCACTCTGTTACGACTGATCCATTTTTAGTAAGGTTTTCGTATTTGTTAGGCTGCTGACGTGATCCTTGCCGTGTCCTGAGCGTTTAATTAGAAAGTGAGCATTATGGGGAGTAATGTTGGCTTATCCGTCAGGATACAGCTTAGAAATAGAGGCGCCTGTTAGGCTCTTGATTTTGGCTCAGGTCATGATCTCCTGCGGGATGGAGCCCTGCATCAGGCTCTGCACCGACAGCACAGAGCCTGCTTGGGATCCTCTCTCTGCCCCTCCCGTGCATGTTCTCTCTCTCTCTCTCAAAAATAAATAGACACTTGAAAAATTGAGAAATTAATTTTTCTTCTAAGAGGTGAAGAAATATTGGATATTTAGACAAATATTGGATATTTCTCTATGTTTGGATATTTAGAGAAAAAAATTAAAACAATTTGACTTATTTCTACAGCAGCTAATTTATAATTGTAATTCATTCCAGAATCATAATTCATCCCGGAGGTAGATGCCATGGAAGTTCACACACTGCCTGGCTCTTGTTAACAGAAAGCATAAAGCAGGGCTCGGGTGGGAAGGGAGACCTTACTGCTGTCACTGTCTGTGGGCTTGTTCGAACACTTGGTCTGTCTAAAAATATGCCATCTGTTTCTTATGCTGCTCTGACAGAACCTGAATTTGCTTAACTTCAAAATACGGATATAAAGAGATTTCTTTGTAAAGCTGGCTTGACAAAAGTAGATGTTGTTTCGTTACTTTATGTTAAGGTAACGTGTGATTGATTTGTTTTAAAAGCGTAATCTATTATTTTCACGCAAGTAGTACATTCATGTGATGCAAATTCTGAAGTTACGAAAAGGTAATGATTAAAATGTCTTTCTCCCACTCCTTTCTCCTGAGCACCTAACTCTGCCCAGAGGCAAGCTCTGTTCTTCTTCCTCCTTGTGTATCCTTACAGATTCAATCCATGCATATATGAAGATAGATTTTAAATTACTTAAAGCAAAAGTATTTCAGAACAGTAACTTTTAAAGGTTCTTAGCATGCTCTGAAATCAGCTACATTGGCCTAATTGTAGTTATTTTAAATAAAATGCACAAATATCGTATTTTTAGACATTTGCTGTTGAGAAAGCAGGTATTCATTAATTTTGAGTAGTCAACTCAAAATTGCATCTTGGCATTTCTGTTCAGGTGCTTCAGCTGAAAAACCCATTCCCCGGATTGTCCAGAAACAATTTGGAAAGGATCTGTTCTATTTTTATGGTTCTCCTCCTCTGTTGTGTGAAACTGTAGCGTCACAGCCGTGTGTGGGCTGCAGCCGAAGTAGCCGGGTGCCTGCTCTCTGCTCAGCACGTGGGATGCAGGGCCTCTGGGTGGGACTGGCTGTGGTCTCAGCAAGGCTGGCGTGCAGGGGTGCCAGAGGTTGGGACCATCCTAACTGTAATTTTGAGGCAATTGACAGTTGCCTTTGGTTCTTTCTTACTCTCCTTCAGATTTCCTGTCGTTTCCCCCTAGCTTTAATTATTCATTCATCAATAAGTATTTACTCAACAACTGATGGGTGCCTCTTGTAACAGTTGCAGGGCTACAGCCGTCAACAGGTAAAAAGCTCTGCCCTCTGAAGCTTTCATCTCAGTGAGGGGCACAGACAATAAACAGGATAGATAAGTAAAGCATAAAGTATGTTAGTGATAAACGAAGGAGGAACGGCAAGGCAGGGAAAGGAACTAGGAGACGTCAGGGTTGATAAGGTGTTGACATTCTAGAGAGGATTTCCAGGGAAGGTCCATTGAGATGGTGGCTCTTGAATAAACACGTGAAAGAGAGTCGAAGGTCTGGCCATGAAGGTGTGTGGGGGAGCCGCGTTCCGGGCGGGAGAACAGGTCCAAAGGCCCCCCTGTTTGAGGAAGACCAAGGGGTTCGTTTGCTTGGTTGAATTAGTGAGAGGGAGACTCTTAGCGGGTGAGGCCAGAGAGGTAGAGGGAGCGCCACACCACATCGGTAGGCCCTTCCTGGTGGGCGCACTGAGGACCTTGGCGTGCATTCTACGTGAGGTGGGAAGTCATCGCAGGGTTTGGTTAGAGGAGCGGCAGGATCTTAGTTCCATTTTACAAGGAACACTGGTTGAGAACAGCGAAGGGGAGCACGGGCAGAGGCAGGACACCAGTTAGGAAGCTGTTAAAGTGATCAGGTGAGAGAGGGTGGTGGGCTCCGTCAGGATGTTGCCAGTGGCAGGGTGACAAGTGACTGAATTTTGAAGGTGGAACCAACAGGACTTGTTCCTCCGTGCTAAGCGTGAGGTGACGTAGCTGTGCTTGGTATTCTCAGCCAGGGCACTTTCAGCTGCAGGTAACAGAAAACCCTGCTGCAGTGGCCTAAACAGGCGAGATCTTATTATAAGACAGGAATAAGTCTGTGTGAGGAGGCCGAACACCAAGATTAGGAACCTGGCCTCTTTTCCTTTCCTTTCCTTTCTTTCATCTCTGCACCTAACATGGGGCTCAAACTCATGACCGCAAGATCAAGAGGCGCCCGCCTTACGGACCGAGACAGCCAGGCGCCCCTCTTTCTTGTACTTAGTTTGTAAGGCCTTGCCCTCGTGCTTTCCAGTTTTTCAAAGCTGACTTGTCTTTTTTATTGTGGAATTGAAACCGTTCTTTATGTGTTCTGCACACTAGACCCTTATCAGATATATGATTTTTAAAAACATTCCTCCTGTCTGTGGATTGTCTCTTCATTTTCTTGGTAGTGTCCTTTGAATTGAAAGCACAAAAGTTTTTCATTTTCATGAAGTCCAGTTTTCTATTTTGTCTTCCGTCGCTGTGCTTTAGGTGTCACAGAGATGTAGAACTCCCATGTTTTCTTCTAAGAATTGTAAGTTTTACTCTTACATTTAGGTCTGACCCATTTCGAGTTAATTTGTATGTATGGTGTAAGGTGAGGGTCCAGCTTCGTTCTTTCGCATGTGGATCTCCAGCGCTCCCAGCACCGTTTATTGAAAAGATCTTCTTTCCCCATTGAGTTGTATTGGCACTCTTGTTAAAAACTAATAGCCCATAAACATATGGATTTTTTTCTGGACCTTCAGTTTTATTCCATTGGTCCAAATGTCTATATCCTCTTCCAATACTATACAGTCTTGATTACTGTATTTTTTATCACAATTTCAAACCATGAAATTTGAGTCCTCCAACTTTGTTCTTTTTTAAGATAGTTTCGGCTATTCTGGACCCCATGCATTTCTGTATCAATTGTAAGATCAGATTGTCAGTTTCTACAGAGAGGCCAGCTAGGATTCTGATGGGGATTGCATTGAATCTGTAGATCAATTTGGGGAGTATTGGCGCCTTAACAATATTGAGTCTTCCAATCTGTGAACATTGGCAAAGTTATTCTGTAAACCGTCAGATAGTCGGCCGTTTTTAGGCTTTGTGGGCACCATGTCTCTGTTGCAACTATTCAACTCTGCCATTGTAAAATAAAAGCAGCCAGGGGTAATATGTAAATGAAGGAGTGTGGCTGTGTCCCAATACAATTTTATTGATGACATTGAAATTTGAATTTCATATAATTTTCACATGTCATGAAATATTATTGTTTGATTTTTTTTTTTTTTTTAATCAACCATTTAAAAATGTGAAAACATTTCTTAGCTCAGAGACTGGCCCAAAACATGCAGGCTGTAGTTTGCTTACCCCTAGATTAAATAGGATGGGACCACTTTTGTGAACCATTTCTTTTCTGGTTCCTTTCTTTTTTTTTTTTTTTTTTTTTTTTTTTTTTTTTTTTATTTTTTTAATTTTTTTTTTTTTTAACGTTTATTTATTTTTTTGGGACAGAGAGAGACAGAGCATGAACGGG